TTGTATGTTCTTGTGTGAAGTGAGTGAAGTGTTTGTGGTAATTAAGGCGTACACACACACACCTACTACTAGAGCCGGCGCAGGTCAGTACTATTCTATTTTTAACCGACTTCAAAAAAGGAGGAGGTTATATTGTGCTTTTTTTACTCTTTTGTCTTCTCTATTTAATTAGTTCCGTAATAAATTCTGTAATACTTGGTAAAATTATTTAATATTTGGTATTTTGATGTTAAACGACATTACTTGGTTTCGCCTGAAAACAAGTGACACCTTTCGCAGGTCATTCTTTTGTCCCTAGTGAATACTGAGCTTAACTACAACTATAACACAAACTGATAAAATAATAAGAAAGCCATTACTAAGATTACTTCATTGTTCAGATAGGGCCTGGAAAAATAGTTTTCTTCCAAATGATTAACTCACAATGCGAAAAATCACCTGTTATAACTTATTTTAGACAGTATTCTTGATTATGATCACGGAATACAATGGTCTATCTAAAAAATATGTTTCCACAAAGCGCGCCGTTATTCCATTTTGATGGGTAACCAAGTGGAATAATCTGGAAGGAAATCTTTGAATAGTGCTTTGTCAATCGTTTTAGATCCTTAAGTCCACGATATACAAATAGATTTCTAGCAGACATGTAAGTGGAGCGATAAGCCTCCCTTTAAGTCGAGTAGGTATGATTTTAGTAGATTAATTGTGGTGTACCTACTGGTTTGTGAAAAGCTACGTTGCCTATTTAAAATGTACTATGACATTAAGCCTAAGCGCAGACCACTGACTTTTTGTTGGCCGATAGTTGGGTCGGGCTGTTAATAAGTATGGAGATGTATGAAAGTGCGCACATTACATAGATTTGGTATCGGCCAATTCTTACAAATTAGAATCGGGCCCAACTATCAACCAACTAAAGTCGGTGGTCTGCGCCTTTTTTTTTTTTTTTTTTTAGGTGGTAAAAATGCATTGAGCTGCATACCCGCCGCTGTGGTCAGGCGACGGGTTATGTGGGGCTCTCCCCTCCAGACGGGAGGGGCCTACCCACTAAAAATCCACCAGTGTCCTTCTTTCTGAGCATAGGGGAGTTGCCGGTGTAGCGAACCTTAACCCGAGTTCCACCTATGCTCAGTTAATCCGCTGTGCGGACCCACCTTATTATTACCACAGGACAACTCTAAGCAGGCGCCTATGCGCCTTCCGCCAGTTTATGTACAGCTGTACAATCTTTACAATTTATGTACACAATATATACAGAAATATTCTAAGACTGTACAACTAATTACAAATATTTACAAAGATAGTTTACAAACGACGCCAGCCGAAGGGTGTAAAGGGCCCATCGGCTGGCGCCCACCACGCCTACTCCTTAATAAATTATATATACATAATTTAACCTAACTGACTAGACAAACGACTAGATGTCAGAAACGTCGTGCAAAATCGCGACGCCTCCGACCCAATCTCTTTCGCCGAGCAGGGTCCGCGAGGGGATCCTCCTCTCTGGCTCTCTCGGCTTCCTCCTTTGAGGACATGACCGCCTCGCAGAAGGCCTTCACTGAGTCCCATCCCGTGTCACTACCGACCATAGCTTTGACCACAGCTGGCAGCCTTAAATCACTTCCAATAACTGCACAGAGCTGAGTTCTGTGCTGTGTCCATTCCGGGCAGTCTTCCACAGTATGCTCCGCTGTGTCGACAGCGGCGCCACAGTGGTGACACATAGGGGTCCTCTCGCGGCCGATGCGGTGCAGGAATTTCCCGAAACAACCATGTCCGGTCAACACCTGCACCATCCGGTAGGTGAGGGAGCCCTTTCGTCTTTCAGTCCAGTCTTTAAGGCAGGGCTGAAGGGCAGCAACCCGTCTACCTCTTCGCTTTCTGCGGATCGGGTCAGCGAGGGGATCCTCCTCCCTGGCCCGTTCCGAGGCCTCCTTTTGTGACATAATTTCTTCACAAAAAGAGGCCATCTCTTTCCAGGCAGTCTCGTTTTCCAGCATGGCTTTAACTATGCTGGAGAGCGAAAGGTCTACGCCTACCGCTGAAACCAGAGAGCGACGCTGCCGAACCCAAGCCGGACAATCCACGAGGGTATGGTCCACCGTGTCCTCTGCAGCGCCGCACTCATGGCATTCAGGGGTCGGTTCCCTCCTGGCGATGTGATGCAGGTACCAACCAAAGGCCCCATGGCCGGTTAGCATCTGCACCAATCGGTAAGTGAGGTGACCGTGTTTTCTTTCTACCCATTCTTTTAACACCGGGCGGATTGCGCCAATGGTACGCCGTGCGAGCCTTCCGTACTCACCGGCATCCAGGTGCTCGGACCAACGTCGCAACAGGGTCTCCTGAGCCTGGAGCCTGGCACGACTCATATCCTCCAGTTCAATACGCTCTCCAGCGTTCCTCCTCGCTGATCTCATGTGATATATTTCAGCGAGGACTCCTGCATCCAACTCCCATGGGGGGAGGCCAGCCAACACGAGCGCTGCATCGAGGGCAACCGTGCGGTAAGCTCGGATTGCCCTCAATGCTAGAATGCGTTGAGGTTGGCGAAGCGCAATTCTAGCTTCTCTAATCAGGGGAGACCAGATCGGTGCCCCGTACAGTGCCATACTTCTGATGACCCCAGCGTACAGTTTCCTACAGCTGACGCTGGGGCCGCGGACGTTAGGCAGTAGCCGGCTCAGAGCTGCTGCAGCTTTTACTAAACGGGGCTTAAGCAGCCTGAAGTGGGCGCAGAAGGTCCACCTGCCGTCCAGGGTAAGGCCCAAGTATTTCATCTGAGCCCCGACTTTAATACGGACCCCTTCCACCGTGATATGGGCACTTGGTGGGGGGCCCTGTCGGGGCTTGTGAAAGATCATTGCTTCCGTTTTAGACGGGGCCACTTTTAAACCCAGAGCCTGGATGCAGTCTATCGTCCTGGCGACAGCTGCCTCTCCCCTGCTGCACACTTCAGCGAGGCTCCCCCCTCGAGCCACAATGAGGGTGTCATCTGCATAGCAGAGCAGTCGCGTATTGGGAAGACGGAGGCTACGCAGGACAAAGTCGTATCCAATATTCCACAGGGTTGGGCCAAGCACTGAACCCTGTGGAACACCGCAACGCATCGCCCTGCGAACCAGCGTTCCATTTCCGTCTATGTATGTCACTACTCTGTCCCGGAGATAGTCCTCCAACAGCCTCCCCAGATATGAGGGTACTCCGTGGAATCGAAGAGCCTCTAAAATAGTAGAGAAGGGGAGGCTGTTGAAGGCGTTGGCGATATCAAGAGATACCGCCAAAACCCTGTCTCCCATCTCTAATGCCTCATTCGTGTAGCTCTTCAGCGCCATTATTGCATCCGTTGTCGAGCGTCCAGCTCGAAAGCCGAACTGAGCATCCGACAAGTTTGGGCCGGTGTCCTCAAGATGCTTGACAAGGCGGGATGCCACTATTTTCTCAAGCAACTTCCCCGCCTCGTCAAGCAACACGATGGGCCTGTAAGCCGAGGGGGAGTCTGGGGGTTTCCCCTCCTTAGGAATCAGGCAAAGTCGACCTTCCTTCCATGCCTTCGGGAACCTCCCAGTATTGAGAGATAGATTAAAAAGGTACCGAAGGCGTCCCTCTAGGTGTTGGAGGGCGACCCGAATGACACGGCCGGGGACACCATCGGGTCCAGGGGCCTTACTCTTGCCTTTGAGGCGTTCTATAGCTGCCTCCATTTCCCCATCAGAGACAGGTGGGGCAGCAGTACTCAAGGGAGCATGTGAGGGAGTCATATCTGGGGGGATGTGTGGTCCACAATCGGGAAACAACCCGGACACTACACGCTCTAGTAAAGGTGGATCCAGGGTCTCTGATATGGGGGCCGTCATTGCGCGAAATTTGTTTCTAGCAGCTTTATATGGACGCCCCCATGGGTCTCTGTCCAGGTCTTTCAGCATTTCCTCACGGGCCCGTTCTTTAGAGATGTTGATAGCCAACTGCAACGCTTTTTTGTCCTCAAGGTAGGCTGCACGTAGTTGATCTTCCTCCTCTGGAGCACGGCAACTTCTTCGACGACTTCTTGTAAGCGCTCTACGTGATGCATTACAGGTGGCCCGAAGAGAGGCTATTTCTTCTGTCCACCAATAAACTCCCTTTCGGGAAGGAGGATGTCGTACCCTGGGCATTGAGGCATTGCAGACTTCAGTTAAGGCAGACTGAAAGCGAGCTGCAGCTTCATCTGCGTTCTCTAGTGGCGGGCCATAGAACCAGTCCTGCACTAAGGATGCGTCACCAGCTATCTCTCTATCAAATTGTGTGAGGGACCATCGCGGGAAGGAGTAGCGGTTTTCCCGTGGAACTATATGTGATTGCGAGCGAGTGACCTCGAANGTTTCCCCTCCTTAGGAATCAGGCAAAGTCGACCTTCCTTCCATGCCTTCGGGAACCTCCCAGAATTGAGAGATAGATTAAAAAGGTACCGAAGGCGTCCCTCTAGGTGTTGGAGGGCGCTGGGGGGATGTGTGGTCCACAATCGGGAATCTCTAGTGGCGGGCCATAGAACCAGTCCTGCACTAAGGATGCGTCACCAGCTATCTCTCTATCAAATTGTGTGAGGGACCATCGCGGGAAGGAGTAGCGGTTTTCCCGTGGAACTATATGTGATTGCGAGCGAGTGACCTCGAACCTAATATAGGTGTGGTCAGATAATGTTTCCTCTCCCACTAGAACACGCCAGTTCGTGATGCTGTGTGCGAGGGCAGGGGTGGCGAACGTGAGATCCACCACAGATCCCCCCTGTCCACGGACGCAGGTGTAAGCATTCCCTGTATTCAGTAAATTGAGACCGATTTCTGCCGCCCACTCTTCTAAGACTTCACCACGACTGTCTGTGGAAGGACACCCCCAGTTACGGGACTTGGCATTGAAGTCGCCCATAACGATGACTTGCAAAGGCGACAACCTCCCTATGGCTGGACCCAGGGTCTCTAGAAAGGCCTCAAATTGGGGCACCGTTCGATTGGGAGAGAAGTAGACCCCAACAACAGCTATATCCTTCCACTTTGCTGTTACGTATCCTAGCCCCTTTTCTCGGATTTCAAGTGGAGGTGCTTGAGAGTCAGTTCGACTGACAATGGCAACTGTCTCATCTGTTGAGCCAGCCCAGTTGGACTGAGTAGATATGTAGTAGGGCTCAGCCACTACCGCAATATCAATCTGCCACGCCACTAGGTTTGCCAGAAACAGGTCCTGGGCCCTGGTGGCATGGTTAAGGTTCGACTGTAGGAAAAGCGTGTTAGGCCTAAATGCCATCGTAGGGTTCCACGCTAGTCGTCTCCATCTCTGCCGATTGTGATTGAACACCACTGGTCACCGGAGTTGTTGGGATCTGTACAACTAATGGTGCTTTCCCCCTGACAGGACGGGGTCTACATGATTTCCCCCCCATAATGTGGTCGGAGGCTTTTCCAGCATCCGCACAAACTGCACACCTGATCTTTGCCGAACAGCTGGTGGACTTGTGCCCAGGATGCCCACACCTGAAACACAGTTCGTTACGGGTCGACGATGAGGGACACAGTTGTTTGGTGTGCGCGCCTAGTCTAAGGGCTATTCTGCAACAGGTTTGATGTACCTTTTGTTTCTATTTCAAATCAAGAGTCTACCCATATCTGGAATGCTGCTGAAAAATCTTTTTATCTTTACAGGAGCCGGCACATAACTGGGTATAACGAAAGGTAAGACTTTTTTTAATATTTGTAGTTCTAGCAAAAATCTGGTTTCCTTGACTGCATGCTTATAACCTAGGGCCTAGGCTGTTCGGTAATAATTTAATTAAACGTATTATATTTTTAAACGGTTTGAAGGATTCCATATCGTAGTTCGTAGGTATTCTTAGAAATGAAACTATGATTAGTTTACTTATATGAATACGAAATATATCTATTAAAAATTTATGCAGACTAAGAATTACGGACAATGGGCAAAATGGTACCCGGCTCCACTAGATATGCTTCTAGTGTCATTTGAAAGGTCTTACCANTGGTGTGCCCCAGCCCTAAGCATTTAAAGCACCGTAGAGGGCGGGACTCTAAAAAGGACACCCTTGCGGACGACCAGCCCACCAGAAGGCGGCCAGTGGATAGAACCTGCGCAGCAGTCACCGGGCACGAAACCAAGATGGCACCCACGCCTCTTGGCCCAGGACGGATTTCACCCGCCTTGATGGCCTCTTTCTGACAGCCAGTTTTAGCTGCAATGGCCTCGATGACCTCCTCTTTTGAGACGGAGTCGTCAAGCTCCGTTATACGGAGACCGACTCTTCTCACGGGGCGTGCCACTCGGGCGACCCCCTCTAACACTTCATTCAGCTTGACAGCTAGTTGATCAGCTTTTTCACCGCTCTGGGAACCAGATATCTCCAGCATTCTGGCTCCCGTGGCCGTCCTTCTGCAGCGAACATGGTCCATTCCTAGTTCATCGAGGGAGAGAACTTCCCGAGCTTTTTTAATGGCCTCGCCGTAGCTTGCTCCTTTCTCCACAGCCTCTGGCTGTAAGGATATTACTACAGCAGAGGTGCGAGGTGGGGTAAGAGAGACCCCTCCTTTAGAACGGTTCCCAGACTTGGGGATCCGTGATGGGACATTCTGTGGAGCGGAGGAAGACCTAACCTAACCCACTGTTAGTTTACAATCTAACGCGTTATATTATAAACTGACAGAGTTCACAATTTCACGTTGATATGTCCATAGGTTGTCTGGAAGAGATCGCTTCATAGCGATAAGATCGCCTATTTGTACCTGTCTGTTTCTTTTTTTTTGTTCCGTTCTTTGGCGTGCAATAAAGAGTTTTTTTCAACATTTTTCATTGTTTGCAGCGCCGGCGCCGACTCAAGAAAACGGCTGCGATACAAAGCTGTTCGACCTGGCGCGCTCCGTGCACTGGATCGTGGACGACGACGGCATCACCACCGTCGCCAGCAAGGTACCTTTGTTACCCACACCATAGAATAATAATAAGTACTACCACAGAATAATAATAAGTACTACCACATAANAGGAAGACTGAGAGGAATTCTTCTTATTCTTCTTCCGCTTTTTATGGGACACTTTGGTCCATTGCTCCGCACTTGAAGCCGCCTGGACTGCTGAGGTCGTAGGTGGCTGGGTTTCAGGTCTCTGGACATTTCTTCTGCTCTCAGGTGGGCGGGAAGGTCCAGCATTGGCAGGAAGTTTGGATGCGTTTGTAGGTTTAGGTACTGTCTTGGGCGCAGCCTTCACCGAGTTTTGTGAGGCCGTAGAGGCAGCAGCAACCATGGAATACGTCTTATTGCTTGTCTCTGCAGGGGTAGGGGGCATTGGCAGTTGTTTAGCTGCCTTCTTTTTCGCTACCGTCTTAACAGTAGCTGCACTGTCAGCCGCTAAGGGAGGCCGAGATACTGGCATTGGGTTGAGTCGATCTTGCATCCCCTCAAGACGGGCAAATCGAGCATCAAGGCTGGCTTCGATCATCTTACCAAGAGAGAGGAGCAGCGTTTCCTGATTCGTGGCGTCCGTACTGGGCGCGCATGTCGTGTCCATGGGAGAGATGGAAGAGGTTTTTGCAGGTGGGGTGGTAGAGGGAGCCGCAGCTGGAGTTGCAGCCACCCTTTCCGAGAGACTCCTACGAAGTGATTGAACCTCTTTCGTCAACTCCTCTTTTTCTTTCCGGAGATTCTTATTGTCTCGCGCAGTTTTCCTGGCTTCGCCACTTAGGGTGCGCTCTGCCATTTCGTCGATCACAACTTGGAGCACGTTTTGAGCCTGCTTGAGAGTCTTCTGCATTGTTCCTTGCAGGTGACGAGATTTATTTTTTACTTCAGTCACGGCCGAAAGGCACTGATGCGCTATGTCTCTCAGTTGTGTCATGTCTAACAAGGACGGTTCCTCGGGTATATCCGGACAAACTATGCCGCTCACAGACTCCAGGGATTGAGCTTTTGGAAGTCGAGTAGTAGACCTAGTCTTCGTCTTCGAGGCGCGGTTGCAGCCCTCTTCCTCAGCTTTAGTCCCCTTCGTCTTGGTGAACCGTTTGGTAGACGAGGACGTGTGTCGACTCGATTTCTTACCTCTAGTTGCTGTACTGATCTTCGGAATCGGGGATCCTTCAGATTCTGAATCCGAAGCCCCGCCCAGCGAGTAGAAGCCCTCACATTGCCGCTTTCGCAAAGGGGAGCGACTGCGACGGTCGGGCAATGTATTAGTCAAGAGGGAGTTATCCGCATCATTCTCTTCGGCTGAATTGAACGTTACATCCGATTCGGCCGTCACGTTTTCTGCCGAATTCATCAGAGACGCTGGTTCGGCTGTATTTGTGGACGCCTCGCGCCCGGGGGTTGGTCGAGAAGAAAACTTGTTTTTCAAATTCTGCATATTTAAAATAAAAAGTCTGGTTCATCCGGTGGGGCCTCCACCCTCCTTGGAGCCCGCACTATGGGGAGCCGTAGCCCAGAGCTACCCACCAGATATAGCAGGGATGATCGAGGATCAAAAGTGCGGGTTCTTTGACGCGGTGGTTGGGGCAAGGTTAGCGCATGTCGACCAAAACACGCACAGCACCGAGTCCGCCACCTGCCCTGCCCCCCGCACCCCCCGCTAGCCTTAGGCAACGGTTATGCCGGTCACCTGCAGCCGATTGATCCTGATTCGGCTAAACCAGGACCGCCCGTGTGTTCAGAATTTAGGGCCAAAGACATGTGTTGCTTGGGTGGACTGCCACAAACTCAATGCCCAGGTTCCCCTCATCCCAAAATTACGGGTCCCCACGCACGGCAAGAACACGTGGCCAGACTTGATTAAGGGTCAAGACTGGAAACCCTTACAAGACCACTACTATGGCCCCTACCACGCCGGGTCCAACCACAGACCCTGCCTCTTGTCCCCTCGGGGAGGACACCCCGTCTGGTAGTTTTAGAGAGGACTACTACCTCGTGACTCCAACCTCAGTGGCCGGAGCCCCCGGCCCCGACTGGGGTTACNAGACCACTGCTATGGCCCCGACCACGCCGGGTCCAACCTCAGACCCTGCCTCTTATCCCCTCGGGGAGGACACCCCATCTGGTAGTTTTAGAGAGGACTACTACCTCGTGACTCCAGCCTCAGTGGCCGGAGCCCCCGGCCCCGACTGGGATTACGGGTTGCCCGACTGGCCCGCCGAGTTGACGAAATCCAGCCGCGCGGTGTGTTTTTTAGAGAGGTTGTCTCCTCACAGCCCTGGCAGAACAAGCCCCCCAGCCCGCAATTGCGGGTTATGGTCTGCTTGTGACCGCATCTCAGTGCCACTCTGCTTATCAGAGAAGTCACCGAGAGCGGACCGTCCGCCCGACAGGCCCGCCGAGTTGACGCAACCTGCCGCGCCGGTGAGGAGTCAGCCATCCGCGTGATATAACACGCGGACGTTGCCCAGGATGCACCACGGGGAGGTCCCTCACCATCGCACCCCGGGTTGCGCCATCCTACTTTAACTTTGACAAACGTCAAACTCCATACAAAAACACCGGTTATAGATGACCCACGCTGAACTGTCCCACCAAACTGAATGACAGGGGGGGCGCTACCATCGTTCAACTACGGTGGTGGTTGTGGTGGTGGTTGGTTACCAACATGGCAAAAATCGGAACCAGCGATCCGGTATTGACGGTGGCGCCCCACTGCAGTGGGGCGCCACCGTCAATCACTGTCAATGTCATGCATAGGACAGTTCAGTATTTTGGAACTATATCGTCATGGTTATGATGAAAGTTAGGTAGTGCAACTCAGTTTTACTCTACTGACTCATTTAGGTATTAGATAGCTATGTTTTATCTTATTTATTCATTAATTACAGTCTATTGGTATTTATCTATTGACAGCAAGCTGTAAATCTGACATGCTAATTTGCAGATCAGGCCAGCGTTATAATGACGCATGTCATGTACTATTCGTGTTATGTCGGCAAATGTTTGCCACCTGTTCAAACACTTGTTAGCCACCTACAGCGTCCAATTACCGACCAATCAAAAACTATTGGCTGATCGGTGGATAGTCGTGGTTACAGTGGCTTGGTGGAATTTGGGCCCCCTTTTGGTAATGTGAACGCATGAAGTTATGGTGAAAGAACGTTTAGACACATTAAGGCTACGTTGCATCATCTTATTTTAACTACTATAACAAACGTCAAAAGTCTGTCAAACTCCATACAAAATACACCGGTTATCGTTATAGTTACGGTTAAAGTTAGATGGTGCAACTCAGCCTAACACTTCAGTGACAAAGATGTTGTCAAACGCGAGTGAAGCCTCTGGAAAATGCTACTTTATTCGTTTGAATACCGAGTAGTATTTTTTTTATACTAAGCTCAATCAAACATCAGATCAGAAGATGGTATCAGAATACAAGGCGAAAAAAGAAACTCGTTCTGTATTATTCTGTTAAATTGCAAACCATAATTGCACCCGCAAGTAATGATGCTTCATATTTGTTCAATTAAACAAACAAATAAAAACTCTCGAAACTCTACAACAGTTCTTCGAATAAACTCGTAATCATCTCTCGATCGTCTCGATGTTTCCGAGAACATCGCAATAATACCTTGTATTACACATTCGGGCAATAAAACTATACCCGATGATAGGGATACGGGGAGTCGTAAAAACTATGGAGAGAGGTAATACAAACACTAAAAGGCTTTGAGTGTATCATTTCCGATCTTTTTTCCATCGGGTCACGCGAGGAGCTACCAGCGAAATAAATTGGATAGCGAATTCGGAGTAATCTTTTTTCTTTTTGTGTTGCGGGCAATCGACGGGAAAGTATGCGCGGTGTGTACCTTTCATAAAAAAATTGGCGAAGCGTAAAGCGGGTTTTGCAACGCGGCCGCGCTCGTGGGAGCCGGGAATTGTTTTAAATTCTATTTCGTTTGAAATCAAGTTATTGTGTGGTTCGAGACGCACAGAATTGAGTTGTTTTGAATCGAATCTGTGGTAAATAAGATTGAGGTTTCGCTTCAAATAAAAGGTTAACTGTAACATTAAAGACCCCCCTTACTAATACAAATTACACGATCGTTTAATAGTGTTTTAATTGTTTTGATTGTCATTTTAAAACAGTGTTCAACAAGCGGTTCGTTCAAATGGTTTACACCATTTATTAGTTTAACTGCAACTTTAAAACGATTATTTGCATTGAATTATTTCCATATATCTTGTTAAACTTGCGTATTAATAGTAGGAGCAGACGACACATATCAAATAAGTTAACAAACATATTATGTTAGTTGTATGTAGGTACCCAAGTAATACGAAAAATAGAAAAAATAATACAGTCTGATGTGCTTCCGTTGTACATATTATTATTTTATGAAGTACTCGTATTATCAAAGATTATTCGCAAAACTAACAGACTTTTGAGATATTCGCTACAATAAGCTTTTCGTAAGCAATCGAAGTCACCTTGACTGATTTATAACAATCAAGAACGAACTAAATAAACAGGCGTACCATAAATTTATTACTACATAACCTTTCTTTATCTCAATGTTCTATATTACGATCATCATTAAGCCCCACGACCTCGTTATCGTGACCCTTCAATTCAAAACTACACTCGAACTACAAACACAGAATTATATGTCATAGGTCGGTGTTAATTAATGTGCCGAGATCGGATCCGTGTTTGTAGGTCAGAGGAACGTCAACAAAGGGGGATGCGCCATGGGGTGCCGAGAACCCCCCTGGGGGAACCCCGGCTATATTTATGGGATTTGATTTTGGATGAATTGGGGGAAATACGCTTCTGTATTAAAACAGGCTGCGAAGATAATGTATGGGAATTGGATGAAGAAAATGCCTAGTTTAGGTACTATTTTTGCATTCTATTCGGTAGTGAGATTTTCGATAGTTTCTTGAATCTATATTCGTGTAAAATTACAGTTCATTGAAGGCTAAAACTAAACAATGGACAATAATAATACGTTTATTTTACTATCATAAACTTACATAACAGAATGCAAACACAAATGCATACAATTGATGCCTTAAGTTTGTGTGAGACTGATGCTTGAGGTATGTAAAATAAACAAAGAGTTGCGGATAAGTTGTCGTCTTTTACAGACACCCGAATGATGGCCGAATCAGCATAACATCAGTAAGGTGATTAATGATGTTTAGATGGCTTCGGCCTTAAATCGAGAGCATGCGGTAGTCTCTCGTGATTTCTCTCTATGATCCCGTAATGTTAAACTATGGTTTCATAATTTCTCTCAGCGTTCCCTTAATCTCAAACTATNCCGTTCCCATGGGCGGGCCAGCTGCTCCCTCTTGGAAATCTATTTAATCTTAGCCTAGAAGCTGGGTAAGACTCCCCCGCCCCTCTCCTCTCCCCAGGTCATAAGCTGGGCATGACTTCCCCCTCGGCCAGAAGTCGGGTATGATTTACCGACCGATAATTCAAAATTACCGATTTGGATAATTCAAAAAGATATATCTTTCTTATGTCTTAAAGATTAACGTAGATACTAGTTTTATTGAATTTTCTACAACAGTACTGATCCTCANCGCACCCCATGACAAGACAACCCTAGCGCGACGGCCGAGCGTGCGAGCGAGAGAGGTATGCAAAGCGAGGTACATACATGAATTTACCTTCTGTTATATTTTGTGGTATTACTGTAGGTAAATGAACGTGCTCAATTTTTTTCAACAAAACTTTTAATTAATTAGAGACCGGAACGAGAAGGAACCTGCTTTTATAGTTGTATTTTTGATCTTTTTTTACCTTCGATTTGTATGAAAATTTTACAATCTGTAGCCAATTGCAGATGATTTAAATTTCGTAACTAAGCTGTACAACTTGATGAGTTTGTTGACCATCCCTTGATTTTAACTACTAGATAGATCTTGCGTCTTATGACGTCAACTACTGAACATTTGCTACCCAGAAATGGTTTTAAAAACATCAAATAGTCCGTTTAAAGGTCCTGTCTCTTTTATCAGGTCGTCAGTCTACCTAGCGTTGCAACTACCGCGCAACGCTGCGCTTTTGTCAAATGGTCTCCATTCAGAACTTATACACTCGAGCGCCGTATTTCTATTCGAAGAATCCTGATTGGTCACGTTCGGTAAAGACTCAAACAGTTCCTTGATTTAGGTGTAGGATACATTAGTTGTCGGGTCGAGCGAGTGGCGCCCTCTCTTATTTCCCTGCGCTAAGAATGACTTTACTTTACGCCAGGAATGAAACTGCCCAGTGGTAAGGATGGTGATGCATTGAGAGCAAGTATTTCGTTAATTTTAAATAACTAATTAAGTTAAGATAATTTCGTGCTTCATACATCAATAAACAGTAACAGTAAATTAATTACATTTTATTAAAATTATTTTAGCAAGTTATGTATNAAAGAAAAATGCAATTTTAAATTT